TGTTCCTCTGCTATTCCAGAAACAGAAAATAGACCAAGGTCTGTCTCACTCGTTTCTCTTGTCATATTCCTCGCAAATGCTCCAATTTTTCCAAGAGCGAAAGACCTCCCATGGCAATTTACCGGATGGCCCCCTTAGCCTGCATGGGAAGATGTCCAGGTTCCAATGGGGAAAATGAGATTACGCTGCCCCAGTTCAGCCAACAAAGGGCTTGGGGGCTCCCGGAGGACAGCGCTGGCAGGATTTCATCATGCAAGGAAAGTTGGTTTGTGTGCTTTCCAAATTTATACGGCCGCCCATCTTAGTCACCTAACCCTGGAGCGTTAGCAAAGCTCTTAGGTGAGATGGGCGGCTGTACAAATTGAATAAATAAAATACAATAATAAATCAAATCAAATCAATAGAAGCATGTGGGACAATGCCAGGAGCATTCCTCAGGCAGGGATGCGCCATGCGCTGGGGCCTCCTTCTCCGGAGTCCAGGCTGGCTGGCAATTCTGCGAGGGGAGGCCGATACCGGAGACCTGCTTAGATGGCTCCATGGCCGAGGGGGCCATTTTTATTCTCCCTCCACCTATGGTTCGCTTTTCTGATTTTTTTGGTATTTATTAATGTTCTTTTTTAATATAGATTTCTTCTGTTGCTTTTATCCGTCTTTTTATCTGATGGCTGTACGCCGCCCAGAGCTGCTCTGGCTACATAACTTTGCTTACTAAGTAGATAAATAAATACGCTCGGACCCCTTCCACTCGCAGCTCTGACCGCCCCCCTGTATTCCTCCCTCCCTCAGCGCCACGTTGATTTTCTCTTGCCCCAGCTGCCCTGATGCCCAGTGACTCAGCGCCCCCGGGGCTTGCGGCTCACGGGACTCGGGGGAAGTGGTTTCCCGCTGGCGAGAATCCCTCCTTACGCTGGGCTCCTGCCCATCCCTTGGCCGGGATGCCCTCCCTCCCCACCGCCCCCGCCCCAGAGGACTTGGGCATTTTGCATCAAGGCAGCCCCCTTTTTCCCCAGTGCTGCCCAGAGGCTATTGCACCACTGACGCTTTATTGGCGGGACCCAGCATGTCACATCAATCCCGGAACTGTGTTTTGTCAATCCTGGCTTATGGGATGGCATTGTGTGCAAACCCGAATGGGAAAGGCAGAGAGTCCCCCGGGCAGCACAACCCCGCCCCCAAGTCAGAAAGCCTCTTCCCCTGGAGCTGCCAGCCACGCTGCTTCGGGCAACGGCTCCCGCGCGGGGCGCTCAGAGGCAGGCCGAGGACGCACCCATTGCGCA